AACTCCATAATCTTCAAAAGATAGGTAGTATTTTAACCTTCATCAGCACACCTTTGAAAGGTTACGTTATGGATCACCTGGGGTCCAATAGGACCCCAGCACAAAATGACTGTAACAATAAGCTCTGGTTTGAAATTTCAAAAACTAATGGCATTACAACTTTTATTAAAGCATTGTATTCTGGTGTTAAAAATGCGTCCTAATAAATAAATTGATATAAAAGTGACACTGGTCATACTACATGTACTATTTGCCAGTTCATGTTCACATTGGATATAATAAATTACACTTATAATGAAGAATAAGCAGCATTACCACATACTGTGTCATTTTTTACCTTCTATTGTATGACTTGTTAGCATTTAGTAAATAACAGTTGATTAATTTTTTCACTTTTCCCTGAACTAGGAAATTTATTAATAGTACGTTTTAGCTTTCAAATATATCCTTACATATTGTGAATACGTCATACTGACAATGTATTTAAGTCTTGGTTTAATTTATATCAAAGTTAATTTAAAGAAGTGTTTCATGCATTGTTCATCATGTAACATAGAATAATGAAGAGGGACAAAGGTTGACTTTATTAATGTTTATGCCATTATTATAAGTTTTAAATGCAATATAATTTCGTGATTATGTCTCATGATCTGTGACCATTAATTGCTTTGCTGTATCTTGAGAAAAAGAGGAAACATTGGTCATTTCTTTAAATTTTCATCTTACTGGATAACTCGGAGATAGGTATGGATACATATAAGGTCAGAGGATTTTGAATTTTCAAGGTTTTTTCTAATCCTTTTTTCTAATCCAGGTGTTCCATAACGTAACCTTTCAAAGGTGTGCTGATGAAGGTTAAAATACTACCTATCTTTTGAAGATTATGGAGTTCAAATTCCCAAAGTACAAAATAATCATTTTCTAAGATTTAGATCACGCTGCAAATTATCAACCATAAAACACTTCTTGAAAAGCAGTGAAACCTCATTAAGTTTGATGTCAGAATCATATTTAACTACAAAAAATACATTAAAAAACACAAGCCTATGATAACTGAGGCACAAACAAAATACTGTACAGCTATAAGAAAAAAAAAAAAAAAGAGTTGCTTATGACTAAATTAGAAGCTACCAAGATTGGTTCTTTTTAAGTTAAGCAACATATTATTCTTCCAAGCTCATGTATTTTGCCAATTTTTAAAAAATTTGTATACAAATGATAATTGTATCTGTTATTGTGAATTTACAATAACAATTTCTTAATTTTTTATAAGAATTTGCATAAGCACCAGTTTATGTTTCTAATAATCTAATATGTGTTTCTACTTCATCTCAGACACGTATCAGCATTTTTTAATGGTATTGTTTTTATCTTTGTAATAAAGCTTTGTTTGTGGTGCAAAGTGTGCATATAAACTGTTGTACATCTCTGTATTTATGCTAATGTACCCTTTTTTTGTAAGACTTACAATGAAATTTAAGGACTTCATGTTGTGTCCAGTCCCTCACTTTTGGTTATGTTCTATGAGTACTAAAAGATATGTAAAAGGAACCTCATGATTTTACCAACAAGTATTATCAACTGTTTAAGCTTACCCTGTTTTTAATCATATTTTTCTTAAATTAATATTTTTAAATTGGTTCACGTGACTTGAATATAGTCTTGTTCTATACATTAACTACAAAATTAATCTAAATGCTGGTTCAGTGATGACTGAAAAGGTCTCCAGCAGAGGGTAGTGGAGCTAAGCCTCCAGTAACATTTGGAAGCAGAGTCAGGTCTGGGAGATTTTGAAGGTGTGATTTCAATTCATTTTGTACTCTTGTTACTTTTTGAAGTTTTTCTCTGTATTCCTGTATCAAAAGAGAAATAAGTACAATTATCTGTCTTTCAAAATTTATCATCTCTGATATTCTGTGAAAAGACAATAAATGTTTTATTCATGTGAAAAGATTATAACAGATATAATATTCAAACAAGGATTTCACCCTTCTTTGATATAGTTTACATGACATTTTTAATAACTAAAAACAAATTCAATAAAAAAATATATGTATATATATAGTACTGTGTATTACATACAACTGGTGTCTTTACTGTTACTGTCTTTGCCATTAATTTCAAAACCCTGAGCTGCTTTTGATAAGACTGAAAGAGAATGCAAGACAAAGTAACATTTTGCAATTATCAGTTTAAAGAAACAAAAATACATCCTAGACTTTGTACTAGTCGGCTAATGTAAAAATATGATCTTTATTTTTTATTGCCATGCAATTTTATGAAGTCTCACTAAAAAATGTTACAATAATAACCTGTCCCAGGATCTCATATCCACTTTTGCTATAATAAATGATTTACTAAGTAACACATACATATGTGCATATACTACTCAATAATTATTTTTATTTACCTACATCACAGTGAAAACTTTTGTATTTCTCAGAAAATGTGCCTACCTCAAGTTTTTGTTCAGCTAAAGCTAATGCATTTCTCTGTGCATATGTATAATCATTCAACATCTTGGCTACTTGTTTCCGATCTTCTAATTCCTGCTGTAGGCGGCTGTTGTAGTCATCCAATAAAGAGCATGCTTCATCCACCTGTTTTGACAATTTATCTGCTGCCTCCTTATCTGAAAATATCAATAAGTTTGCTATATACAAAAATTGTTGATTTCTTAAAACGTTTTTCAAAAAAAAAAAAATATATATATATATATTGAAGTGCAAGTAATGTTTTTCCCTTGTGCTTCCTAGCTTAGCATTATTACGTGTATCTTAATACATGTCCCTGTGGCACATATTCTGAAAAGTGTAAACTATTGGTCTGTCTATTTATTTCTCTCTGTGCTTTGATCTCCAAATTTTTACTTATTTAACAATAGTTAGTTTTCTCAAGCTTATTAGCTCAAAATTAAAATATAAACTTTCTTTAAGATATATGGTAATTATTATTTTTATGCAGTAATTAATAATTCTGGAGAATGCTACTTCAGCATAATTAAGATAAAAATTTGCAATTATATTGAAAGGAAGCCAGCCAGCAGAAGTGTACAAGATCAAATACCAGTTTAAATTTGATAACTATGGTTTTTAATATTCTGCTTAAAACTCTATACTTTTTAAGTCTTCAAAATGAAAGAAGAGAAAATTTTAGAATGCCCTGTAATTTCTAATTGTTTTATAATCATTTTACAATAAGGTCATCTTGTGAAATAATGGTAAATATAATTTTTGAATGTGATCAGTTTCTTTTTATTCACTATGTATTCCTTGCTAAACTTTTAAAATTCATATTAAAGTATATTGTGGAAAGAAAAGATAATTCATCATAATTTTGTACAGAATCAAATGTATTCTGGGAAAGTAATAGGAAAAACAATACAAAAAAAGAACTTTACTATAAACTCCACACCAATAATTATACCTTTAAATCATCTAATACAGCTGGAGAACTGAAAATTCACAACCTTACCATCCAACTTTTCTAACAGTGACACATCAGAAACCTCAGGTGGAAGGTTTGCAATTTTTTCCCGAACTACTGCATCAGAAGAAGCAGCATTTTCTAGATCTTGAAGTGCTTTGATTAACTCTTCAGGCTAAAATATTGAAAAATACTTTATCTACAAAATCTAGTTCAATCAACTACCTCATGAACTTTTAATCATTCTTACCCAAAGATGTAACTTATGACACAAATAAAAAAGGATTACATTTACACAAAAAGGCTTAAGAAAAATGCAGAGAAAATACAATTTTTATTAAGTTTTTTTCATGACATTTTTGGAAGAAATCATAGAAGCAACAAAGTTTGCTGTTTAGGATTTTTTTAAATGCAAGAAGTCATAAATAATGCTTAGGTAATCAGGTTACACTATCAAAATACTTTCTGATCAGAAAATTAACAATTCTGTAAATTATAAAATCTCTTATACATCTATTAATAAACTCGTACTCTTTGTAAAACTTGGTTAAACTATTGTATTCTAGTATTTTTTATTTATTTAGCAAAACATGGACATAACATATTGCATAATACATATGATTGTACATTTCACCATAAAAAAGAATTGTTTATTTGTAGTTAAGCACAAAGCTACACAATGGGGCATCTGTGTTCTGCCCACCATGGGTATCGAAACCTGATTTCTAGCAGTGTAAGTCTGCAGACATACTGCTGTACCACTGGGGGGCAAATAATAAAGAATTGACAATGATCAATGATCATGTAACAAACAATACAAAGTTAAACCTATATACACGAAAATTTGATCAATCTACATTATCCTTGCAAAGCCTGTGCCATGCAAGAGCAAGATAACTGGGGATGCTGTTAACAGTATGGCTCCTGTGGCTCAAATGTCACAAGGAACACAGCTTTACAAGACCTGCTTCCTTACCTGAAGAGGTTCAAGATGCTCTGACAGTCACTGATGACACTTTTTTTGTGAGTTATGGAAAAGATTGAAAATTATTTTTCTGGTAATTTTTTGTGATTTTTAACATTTGTGGGATAAGGTGAAAATAATACATATATAAATTAAACATTAAGTAAACTTCAAGAGAGGTCAAAGTTCCCATCTTATAGACCTCTGTCATACAGAAAACTGATTTGATAAATCAGACTGTGAATTTTGTCAAGAAAATTATATTTAAAATCTAGATTTTGTATGTTTTCATTCATACTTCTCTTATTAATCTATACATTATTTACATTTGTTGAAAGCTCTAAAAATGCTCTAGTTTGGATGAAACTGTTCTATTTTTTAATAATAAATAGAAAACCTTTCTGATAAAAGTACTATATTTTTATAATCATCATGGGAATTTATACCAGGTTAATTATCTTTAGTCAAGTCTGTCAATATTAGTTCTAGTTGTATATACACATTTTAATTTCTGTCCTAAAATATCCTTCTAATTAGCAAATTTGGTCAGTTCTTTAAACTGAATGTTTAATAGGCAAAAACATATCATTACTCAATATGGTGCAACATGTGATACACAACTTTTCTGGTAAAATTTGTGGGAAAAAGTGAAAACAATACAAGTACAAAACTAGATGAAAACACTTATTAATTAATTGGAATTAATTTCAATATTACCAGGGGGGCCCAACCCAGACAAATTGTTCCGGGCCCGAGTCCTTGGGTGGGGGTCTGACTCGAGCATTGTTTATTGTTTTAATTGTATTACCAAAACACATTTCCTTATAAGTCCTGGAAATATATTCTTAATGTACACCAAGATGTTTGGCATTTAAGTCATATCATAAGCTTTTTAAATCCCTCTGCCCCCTCCCCTAGAGATGGTTTGCTCGTGAGTATGCAAACAGACGTCACGCATATGTACCGTCGTCATGTATGCATTATGCTCATGCAGTCGTGCTCACTCAGTACTTAAAAATTGATTCAAACATGTACCATGCTTTCACAAGGAGAATGTGCTGATGGATCTTGGCCTAACAGTGTGGATGTAAAATATACATTGGAATCTGACACTGTAACATATTACCAGATAAAAGAAAAATCTCAGCAACAGACAATCCCCAAAAGGATAAAACTGACTTTTTTTTACACAAATGACCCAGGTATGTGGCCAGAGAGACTAACTGATTTTGATAGGCAAAATATCATCAAGTGTTGTCAAACAAGCCATGTTGACCTTACAGAAATAGTTAAATCTATGCCATTAGATTCTGATGGTCGTACATTCCCTGAGTATATTCTGTATTCAAAATCACCAAATGACTGTGAGGAGGTAGTGAGAAATTGGTTAACTTGGAACAAGAGTAAAGGAGCCTTATCTTGCATCCCTCATTTGCTATTTTCTAATGAGCTGGAGAAAAACTCTTGTAGTGCACCGTGATAAAAAGAAGGGTTCAATGTGGCAAGTGGCACAAATTATAGGACAGACTTTCCTAACACAATAGTAGTAGTCAGTATCAGCATTGTTACTGGCAGTGGAGAAACCTGCAGCAGGCTTTACAAGGTAGAGGGATCTTTAGCCAGCTTCAAAAGCAAATAAAATCATAAGCAGAAAAGAACTTTACAAGAGAGACTTTTGAATGTAACCTTATTTCTGGCATCTAGAAATTTGGCATTTCGAGAAAGAAGTTCCACAATCAATGATGTTCACAATGGCAGTTTCCTAGGTGCACTTGAACAAATATTGCACTGTGACCCCCTTCTGCACTACAAAAGGGAAACAAAGTCAAGAAAAGGGAGAAAAAATGCAAGCTCATTATCTATCTAGGGAAAGTCAGAACAAATTTATTGAATTATGTGGTCAGCATGCTTTGACAATGATTGTAGCAGAGAGGAATGAATCTATTTAATTTTCTGTGATATGTGACACTACTCCAGATATCTTCCATACAGAACAAAATGTACTTATCCTGAGGTATGTGCATAATGATAAAGAGGCTGGAGAATGGAAAATTAACAAACGTTTTATTGAGTTCATTGATTTTGTACACAAGAGTGGGCAGAAAATTGCAGAAATGCTGCAACAAGGATTGCAAAAACATAGCATAGATATAAATTCAAAGGGAGGATGAGAAAGGGCATAAAGGACCACACTGAGATCCCAATCAAATCAGAGGAACATAGAAAACACATGACTCGAAAGGAGTGGAAAAGCATGGAAAGACAAAACCTTATGAAACTTGGAGAAACAGGTGTTTGACAAGGTCACCCGATAGCTAGACACAGTTGAAGAGGACAAGCCTTTGTCACACAACCGGGTGAAGAATTGGGAAAGATGATGAATGGAAGGGTGTAATGGATGGAAGCCACACCAAATAGACCAAAGGCAGAATGCAGACCATTGCCTTTGGTAAATGACCATGGAAGAAGGTCTGATGGATCAGGTAAATGAAAGATGCAACACGAGGGGTCAATCCCTGGGCTGAAGCAATGGCCCGGACAAAAGCCATGCGTGAAGACGAAGTTTGGTGACATCTGGATGAACAATGTCTGACTAAGGTTGATACAGTAGAGACTGAGACAGCAGTAAGTGTGGGAGAGGTTGTACACGTAAAGGTCGGAGCAGAGGGAACCATGACTGCACTAGCCAATATGGATCCACAAGTAAGACTACACATGGAGTGGTTTGGATTAGGGATAGAACTCTGGAAAGGAGTCAAGTAGGAGGGTAAGCATAGATGTGAATATCCCTCCAAACTTGACTGAACACATCCACTCCTAGTGACCAAAAGGAAGAAAGTTTGGTGTTCCAGTGGATGGAAAAGGCATTGATATGAGTGGTACTCAGCAGGGAGTACACTCACCAAGAGATCAGAGGATTGAGGGACCACTCTGTGGGGAGAATCTTATTGGGACAAGATTATCGATCTACAACCAGATTCAGGGCACCAGGAGCATGTCAAGCTAAGATCACAATGTGGTGACTATGGGTCCAGAAAAGGAGACCTGGATTTGGTACCCCCTTGCTTGGTGATATAAGTGACAACAATGGAGTTGTTTGAGTGAGCCATAACCACACTCCCCTGCAGGAGAAGAAGTAAATGGGACAAAGCTCAATAAACTGCCATGAATTTTAGAATTTTTATATGGAGGACAGACTCCTTGACTTACCAGAGATCAGAAATCTCCTAAGAGTTTAGAGAAGCATCCTAACCCTCTAAAGATGCAATGGTGAACAGAAGTAACTTCAGAAAATATTGAACCCCTGACATGGTCTGGTCCCCGATGAGCCACCAAGCCAGGTCAGCACTGATCGTGAAAGGAAGAGTAACAGGGTGGTCCACTGATCGACGAGTGTCCACTGAAGTGAACGCATATGAGCTCGACTCATGTAAGTGAGAGCCACCAAGGAAGCCCACATCCCCAAAAGATACAGAACCTCTCGAGCCGTGAGAGAAAGTGAGGTGAGGGCCTTTGTGACTGCTCACTCCATATCCCGGAGATGAAAAGGAAAAGGCCGGGCCCAACTGAGGTTGAAATTGAAGAAAATCCCCAAATGCACATGTTATTAAGTGGAGGTAAGAATAGATTTTTCCATCTTGATCAGAAAACCCACCCATGGTACTTCCTGTAGGAGTAAATGAGTGTGGTTCCTTGACTGTGAATGGAAAAAGCAAGCAGTAGCTAGTTGTCCATGCAATGATGAGTGCAAAGACCCATCGAGTAAAGACGATGGGCAAAAGTGTGTACCACCCGACAAAACACATAAGAAGCTGAGGTTGGTCCAAACCGCAAGGTCCTGAACTGGATCACACAACCCTCATCAACGAACCAAAGAAAACAATGTGACTCAGGAGCAATAGAAACGTGAAGATAGGTGTCTGTCACATCGAACTTGGTCATCCAGAGTCCAAGGGGTTCAGAAAAGAATTCAACCAGGATAGACTGATGATAGGTCTCCAATCTCCCATCTTCTTGGGGAACATGAAGAGATAGAAATAAAACCCCAGTTGAATGGGGGTAAACCTGCTCAATAGCTACTTTGTGTAGCAGGTTGTGGACAGCCTCAGTAAGTGTGTGTGTGGAGAGTAGTCATATGATATGTACATGTTCAGAAATGAAGCAAAATTGATGGGGTATATATAATGGTGCACTGATCTCAAAAATTTTTTGTAATGGATAGAGGGCAGAAGGAGATCAAGATAAGAAAGAAGGTAAGACCATATTGGAAGGTCATGGTACAAGAATTGTACTATCTCAACTTACTGCACTGCATTGGTAGCACTCAAAATCAAATGACAAAAAAAATTAAGATACCTATGGTAACAGCAGGGCACATTTACACACTTCATATTGAAATCAACACCATGCTTTTCTTCACATCTATTATTACTTAAACTTTCAGGTACTCACTTCTGTGAGAACACTTACATCTGGTGGATCTCCAGGAGGTAAAGAATGAACTTGATCCTTTTCTTCAGGGATTGGTTTTATTTTCTTCACTGGAGGTTCTATTTCTACCAGAAAAGGATAATGTTAATTCACTAACATGAAAAATACGTTGACAATATGCCACTGCATTATAAGACTCTGGAAGTCATTACAGCTTTACCCACTTTTTAAACTTCTCTTATATTAATTAACTTCTGATCAGAGAAAGCTATTTATTTACAGAAAAACTCAAAATCAACTTGACAATCAGTACAGCTAATTAAATATACTTTTCTTAGGATAAAAATTAGAATATATTGTTTCAACAACTAGTTGGGTACCTTCACTGTTAAAAACATTTTATACTGTAATCCTAATAACATCTCATTAAGTTTGTCTAGCTTAGGAAATTTAGATTAGTTGTAAATACATATATTATGTTAACAAGTTAAAAAATGTTAAACTAAGCTTCACTTCCTTGTAGGCATATGGACAATGAAAATCAGAGATTGACATATTACTTGGTGGATTACAATTAATCTAACCTAGTATAATGCTTAGCTTTGGATTAAAAACTTATTTTGAAATGAATTTAAGAAATTCCCAGAGTTTGTTTTATACTACACTGTGTTTTATAATTAATATTAATTTCTGCTCAAAACAAACTACCTGCTTAGAGTCAAACTTCAGGTAATTACTGAAACTTTAACTTGTGATCAATGAAGGGTCTAAAAAAATCTAAGAAAAAGCAATTGTCACGTAAGTTCTATATAGTTCACTTACTCAAAAAGTCAACTGCCCCATATTTAAAACCTTCAGTTTGTTAATATGTCTAGTGAAAACAATTCATAATTTTTACATTTATTGTTTAAAATACTGGATAAAACATAAATGCACTTTGTTTAAAAACTAAGAAAAAATATGATGAAGAAAATCATTTTAAAAGCCATATATATATATAAACAAGAAAAATCTAATTCTAATCTAGATGTCAAGAGAACAATCAACCTTATATTGTATTTACTTGTTGTGCTTACTTCTCACTCTGTTATTCTTTTATAATAATCAGTATTATTTTTAAGTTACATTTCTGCATGAAAACTGTATACTGCTGTGTATTAATACAAATAATTTTGTCAGGTAATAATGGTTTCTAGCTCAAAAGACTGAAAATTGAAATATTGAACATTAAAATAATGACTTACTTTCAAGACACTATTTTTGGGTTGAAAGATTGTAATGTCTTATCATACAAAAATAATGTCATGATATTTCTTTCAAATTCTGAAAAAAGTGAAAACTAATTAGTATTTCTGCAGAGTACTGTCTGAAGTAAAGCAGTTTACTCCATGCACATGCTCTTTCATGCTGACATGGTAAAACAAGATAGAATACAAAGAACTAATGGAAGATGGCAAATAAACAAAGCCACTTTCACGTTACACCAAAAACCATACTTCTCCAAGCTGCTATGACAACACATAAGAAAGTGCAAGATGACCAGAATACAATTTGTAATGAATTAACTCTTACCCATACAAAACTTTAATAAGCAATGGGGTAACTGGGAACATCTTCACATCTTTGATTAGCATATAAACATAGTTGTAGCTCATTATATGTAGACAGACACACACAAGTTATAATTTTCCAATACTGAAAATATATCTCTGATAGGTACTTCCCTCTACTCACAAGATTAACTATTCTCATCCAGTGCTGCCCTCTATATGCAAACGTTTTCTTTACATGTGCCACAAGCCTTCTGCTCCCCCTAATGGAATCAAATGATTACAATATGTCTTTCATGCAAATCATTATGTGTCACTTCTCCACCAATAGTAGCATGACATACTTGACACATGTGGCTCCCTCTATATGCCTCTACCAAACTATCACTTCGGAGTTTGGCAGAAGATGTAAGCACCAGAGGAAAGTGGGGAAGAAAGGTGGGAAGTGTAGGTAGAAGGAAGTACCTATTGGAAATACATTTTCAGTATAGAAAAATTATAACTTCAGATATGGTACCTCCCTCCACTCACAAGATTAGCTATAATTCCACATTGATTAGGTGGAGGTACCAGTGTGAGGGAATAACAGAAGTACACCCCCCCCCCCCCAACAGCATCCAAAGAATACACCTGGAAAAGGGAGAGTCAGATCTGAAGATCTGATCAGGGGAGCCGCACCACTTCTGAACCAGGTATACACTTCGCCCATCCGTGAAGTATGTAGGAGATAAGAGCGGAAAAGAGAGGAGCACATCCAAGTCGGAGAGAACTAAGGCAGGATAGTGATCCTAACCATGAAATATATATGGAACTTAATCCCATAAAGTATGAAAGTTGGTAGATCAATGGATGTGCCCCTAGGTGTAGGATGAGGATCATACCATCTTCATCTGAAGTTCAAGAGACCAGAGGGAATCTAGAACTACTCCAACTTCAAAGATGACACATGTTAGCTTTGATATATCAATCCAGGGACCTGACATTTGGTATGGAAAAGATATCTATTAAATATAAATCAACTCCCCCAACAGCGAAATAAACTGGAACCATCCAAAAGCAATAACATCCTCGGAATAAGATACACAAGGAATAGCAAAAAGAACAGAACTGGAACAATTCCCCTTACCTCCACTGTGACCCACAACACAGGAGTATAATCAAGGGAGGATATTAGACAACTATAAACATGTGTGAGAACTTATGTTGATTGGTTCTACTCTTTATCCAAAACCCAGCTAGGGGTTACTGACATTCATGTGGGGGTAGGATGAGGCTCCCAATCAAAGGGGTGAACTGCAATTTGATGCCTCACTCCTTAGTGAGTGTATAACACATAGTGGAGGATATCACGTCATCTACACCTACAGAACACCACTGCCCTACTCTCCACTGAACGGTTATAGCCATCTTTGTGTGGAACCCATTCAGGAAGGTGCCTCCACAGTCGACCACCCAAGCAGCTTGGAACTGGAAAGTGGTAAGGACTCCCACACTACACTAGAAGAAAGGGGGTGAGAACGTGTTGGAGAGTCCAGAGGAACGTCATCACCTGAGACAGTGCAATGGGTGACCACTACTTTGAAAAGCAGACCATACCAATTTATTCAATACAATGCATGGCAGGGATGGGCAGCTATCACCTTCTGCTTTACCCAAGCAGTCAATGGCTGGTACAGACAAGAACAAGCAAGTTTATGAAGCAATTATATCTTGAAGTTATTCACCTACAAGCAATCTTGTAGAACACCCCATCTCAATGGAGAACATTGCGAATCCATGGAAGTTAAAGCACGAGTCAACATGGCTGTACAGTGTGGATTTCTGATTGAGATATACCTTGTCAGAGTGAGATCCTTATAAAGAATAAATGAAGCAAGGGCCCCTGAAATGAAAAGAATGTATGAATATAGACTTACCCAGTCAAAGTCACACAGAAGTGTGAAGAATGGTCACAGGTGGAAGACAAAAACCTTATGAAGAAGAAACCACGATATGGTGTAAATAATGGGAGACAAATGTATTAGGTGTAATCCACATGCCCAATGGTAGGATTTCCTCCAATGGCTGATGAAGACGAGATGTGAAGGAAAGGTGAGGTGTTGAATCTGGTGAGAAGACACCTTGAACAAATTCCATTGGGACAAGGAGGAGTAAGCCCTATACCCTTCATTGTTATATTGCTCGCAGGGCTTCCTTCCATGGTACCCATTCCAAACTCTTTATCCCTTGGCAGTCTTCCTGTGTTCATAATCTATCCCCTTCTATCCTCACCAATTGGGTTCGATGTTTGATTCAATTACTATACATAGAAGTTTATCTTGATCAGGATGAGGGTAGAGATGAGAAATACAAGGAAAAGAAAGAGGCAAAAGGAGTAATTACCCTCCTTAGCCACCAAGGTTTTTGGGAGGAAGGAACGATCAGGATAAAGGAGAAGATAGGTGTGGTGGTGAAGTGTACATGAAACATCAATGGCAAACAACATAGACCTTTGACATCCACAGGCTAAGAAGAGATGAAATATGTTTTAAGGGAATGGTGAAACATGGAGCACGAAGAAATAGGTTCAAATGGAGGTAAAGTGAGGGAATGGAGGACCACATTAATATCCCAGTTTGGAAGACTATGTTGTCTGGGTGGGACAATGAATCTGGAAGGAACAGGGGAAGCACAAATTTGTCAGTATTGGGAAAAATGAAAAGTATGAGATAAGGCAGCCCGATAATCCGAGATCAAATACCCTCGGTCGAAAAGCCATGTCAGAAACTCAGCCACAGGAGCCACAGCAGGTTGGTCAGCATGGAATCCTAGAGTAGAATACCAACTGTGGAACACTTTCCATTTGCACTGATATACTTCCATTAAAGAGGGTCATATAGAACCAGTGACCAAGGTTGATGAAGAGAGAAGGAGATAAGGGAAACAGTATTGGAGGAAAAGTTGGAGTTGGTGTAATCATGTAAACCATGGTTGAGCCGTCCAATAGGAAGGGATCAGAGGACTCGACATGGAGTAATATGGATGAGAGAGAACACCTGATGAAGTAATCGGATAGGAGGATAAACAAAAAGGAATTTGTGGGACCTAAAGATCATTCTGTCGGATAAAGTTGGTTGAGGCGGGAAAGATGATCTGCTATGAGATTGAAACCACCTGGAACGTGATATGCAATGAGATGAATGTGGTGAATGTGGGCCCAATATAGGAGATCCAATGTACAAAAACAAAGATCTTTACCAAGTGCCCCCTTGGTGATTAATATGTGCTGCCACCATAGAACTGTTAGAATGAATTTTCACCAAATAATGTCTGGCAAGAGGAAGGAAGTGATTCAAAGCCCAACAGATCGTGAGAAGCTCGAGGACGTTGATATGCAAAGTCTGCTCATCGACAGAATAAAGACCTGAAGCTCCTTGGTGATTGACCCATGCACCCTAGCCCTAGAGGGATGCATCCGTGAACAGATGCGATTCCGAATGAGGAGGAGGAAGTGGGATGCCCACCGATGTATGGGTCTTGTCCAACCACCAAAGCAGGTCATCCAACAGAGTATGAGGAAGGGTAACGAGAGGTTCCAAGGGATCCCAAGCAAAGTTCCATTGATCATGAAGACCAAGGAGGACCATTGACATGATTGAAGACAACATCCCCAAAAGTGATTGAACTTCGAAAGCTGAAAAGGCGTAGCAAACTAACAATTCCATAGAATGAAGTCGTAGAGGAGAAGGTTGGGCCAGACTGAGAGAAGTGTCAAAAAGGAAACCTATATGGACAAAATATTGGGTAGGACAGAGGAAGGACGTCTTCAATGTGATTATTCAGCCCACCTAAGCAGCCACATGAAGAAGCTGACAAGTATGGCTGGCTAACTCCCATTTCAGAAACAACCAAATGAAGCCAGTCGTCCATTTAATGGTGGAATCGCAGCCCCAGAGCATGAAGATGGTGAGCAAAAGCTCCGACCATCCATCAGAAAATATAAGTGGTGGAAGCAAGCCTGAAGGATAAGGCATGAAATTGATAAATCACCCCGTGATGGACGAACCAAAGATACAGACGAGACCATGTTGAGACAGGGTTGTGTAGATAAGCATTGGTGACGTCTATCTTGGTCATCCATATGGCCAGAGAAAACATCCATTGTAGAGTGAGAAATCAGTCAATGGTAAAACAGGGCAGTTGAACAAATCGATTGAGGTGGGACAAATCGATGACAGGCCTCCAGTCCCCAGTTTTCTTGGAAACATCAAAAAGTCAGTAATACTAACCTGTTGAAGTAAGTAGAACAGGTTCGATAGACTGCTGAGATAGTTGGTCCTGAACCACCTTCGATAGACGTTGGCCAGTCATTGGATCCCGAGGCAGAGAGAAGGAAACAGGTATAGGAGACACTGGAGGTGGGGAAAGAAACAGGATCACAATTCCTTCTGATAAAATTTGAAGAACTTAATGATCTTTAATGAAAGGATGCCATTGATGAAGAAAATCGACAAGTCAAACTCCCATCGGATGAGAAACCACCAGGTAGTCAACGATACCATTGTCGACGTGACATCCGTCGTTAAGGAAAATGACAAGACAAGGCACTCCAAGCAGGAGGGACAGGTAAGGGTTGGGAAGGAGAAGGACGGGAAACTGTAACAGGTGCCATATTTGGTTCCGACTAAGCAAAATGGGCAACAAGAGTGGAAAAGGTAGACTGTTGTTGTACTGATATAACTCGTGACTCCAAGGACTCGAGAATTGTGTCAAATATGTAATGCTGCAAAAATGGGGCCATAAGTAAACCTTGAAAATAAGATGCTGGTAAATGGACACGAGTTAAGGTTGCATCATGTCCTAGAAAATTCCAACAAAAGAGAAAACATGTATGCAAAGCCAGAGCCAAAGACAACAAATGGGTCAACATGGAAGAAAGAAGGGAGAGGATGTCACCAGAAAACCTCACAGGATTTATGTGGAGAGCTTCAGAGAGGAGATGGATGACAGAGAGATACCATAAAAGACTTGTGATGGTAAGACGAAGGCGGGAAAATTGAGCATGGGTCAGGCTAAGAGGAGATTCAGGGACTGCCTCGCAAACAGGAAAAAAGAAACCTAACAATTGTTGGTCTAGAAAAAGACTGTGCACAATTTAACTAGGATTCAATTAAAGTGAAGAAACAGTCTTAATAAACTTTGAAGTAATTTAAATTAAAACCACTTTCCAAGTATAATAAAGTTGAACATGAAACTTAAAACAAACAAAGGAACATGTCCAAGCACAAGCGCTGCCAAACAAGAAGTGATAGTTCGGAAAAGGCATATAGAGAGAGCCACATGAGTCACAGGAGTATATCAAGCTACTATTGGTGAAGAGGTGACACATGATGATTTGCACGAGAGACATGCTGGAATCATTTGATTCCAATACGGGGGAGCAGAAGGCTTGTGGCATGCATAAAGTAAAAAGTTTGCATATAGAGGGCAGCACTGGAAGAAAATAGCTAATCTTGTGAGTGGAGGGAAGCACTGTCTCGGAAGTACAATTTCACAAGAACAGCTGCAAATTTATGAAGTAATCTCTGGTTATCATAACACTATTGCATCAATTAATGATATATTTCTGTCAAATGATTTACCCAAGTATTATCTTTTCCAAGTTACCTAATGTGTCCACCTGATTTTTCTCTTTTTCATGCACCATGTTTCAAAAATATCTACTTCATTACTGGATGGTTTTATACTTTATACAGCTTCATTAATACTATTTATTTTCATGACATCAACACACACATTCTCTCAGCTGTTCTCCTGAGTTTTGAGATTGGCAACAAGTCATTCAGGTGCTAAGTATCAAAAACAGATACTGAGGTAGAAGCTTAATTACAATTGCTCACATTCTATGACACTATTTACAGAAACATGTCTGCTTTGCTTTACTACTGTAGCATAGTAACATCATCAGGATTCTACTAAATGAAGCTTGGTGGTTCATAAGACATTCTGCTAATCTTTGACTCATACGTCACTCTTAATTAGCCTCTGTGTCAATGTGGTGCAATGTCAAAATCTGTTTAATTCTGTATCATGCATTAACTAATTAACTTCTTCAGTATCATTTATCACAAAAATGAAGCAACATAGATTTTAAATACAAGTCTCCAAATAAAGACTGACCTTGTGGATAAAAATCAATCAAAGTCCAGTAATTTCCATATGACTTAAGTTCTTACTAAATGGACTTCTGAGAAAAGTAAATGTTCACATTTATACTGTTACAAACATCATTTATCCTTACTCTTTAACATATATTTACTATAATACCTGATGAGAAATGCTTGTTAATATATTACATACATATAAAACCTACCTGTAGTCCAAATCTGTTCAGTATGATGTTGTGTGGCTTTACGGAATTCTTCAATATCATTGTTGTTGTACACATTTCTATCTTCCCAAACTTTCAAAATCTTCTTTACACCTATTTGGGTCTTTTCATCTGGGACACTTTTTAAAAATAAGAATAATAAATTTAATGAATACCACACCATACAACGAGAACTAGAACAAGTTACAACCTTGCAATCTGTTACAAATATATATATATGAAAATATAAATTTTATGGATGTAAAAAATTTATTTATTTATACTGTTAACATATTGCACTTAATGTATAATATAGATTGGTAAAATAATTGGTATCTTACACTGTAAGTCTTTCATGGCTGGTTTCATAGACCAAAATTATCAACAGCTCTAGACTATTTTATCTAAATTAACAATATACAGTTCAAGATTAGTGCTAATCAGAGTTTGTGAAACTAATGATCAAAGTTTTATGTGCTCATTTTTATTTCCCTGCTGGTGTATTTTTAAGCACAGTTTGTTCTCAGAAAAAAAAACAAAAACACAGTTATCAAGAGGGAGATAATTGTATCAGCTCATTAAATTATGTTGTGTGAAATATCACAATTTGGTATACATTTTTCAATAATAAACATACGTTGAATAAGATAAAGTTGAAAATAAGTTACACATGGAATCATTTTACAAAAATAGAGGGACACACCATTAGATGAAAGATGTAATACAGAGCTGATGAGTGTAAACAGTCCAGGCACAATGCTGAATCATCTGTTTCAAGTAAATAACAAGACCAAAAACAAACAGCGATGATGTAATTTGTTTCTGGCAATGTGAGTTTTTACGTGCTATGATAATTGAAGATGTGTTGCCTGTAAGCGACACTGAACATGTGGGTTTTTGGCCATTAACGGGTTTTGTGGAATCTAAATACTGTGTGCCTGTGAAATAAATTGTAACCTCACAACTACAGAAGTGCTGTGAAGGCTGCATGAACTATCCCCAAGAAAAGTAGGTAAAAGCTAATGAAGTACCTTTTACCTGTTGGACAGCATTAAATGCTAAAAACTGTGTGATGGTCACTTGTCATTACATTGAAAACTGGAAGGTTTGATCCAATGTTCTACAAACAGACAGTGTGCCAAAATAACATACTGCAGGAAATCTTGCTAAAAATCTCTGGAGCATTGCATGAAATCTAATAATACTGTCATAATTACCAAACCTGCACTTACAACATCCCTGTTGGATCCATGCCATATGTACTGGCAGATTCTTTTACCTGGTATTCAAACTGCTATTAAATCAAACCTTTTGCAACTTGTGCTGTCAATCAAAAGTGAGGCAGCTTCAAGTGCTGTGGCTGAAATCTCTGAGCCAGTAGCAGAAAAACCTTATCAGAATTCAGTTGAAAATGAGCTTGAAAATTACTGCAGGAAGCCATGCCCTTCATTAGAGTGGAGTTTGTTGGAATGGTGGAAAGTCAATGTACAACCATTTCCAAGGCTTGAAAAACTGTGCATTCCAGAATCATCTGTGCCTGCAAAACATGTTTTCCACTGCTGTAATTACTGCAAGTTGGTTGTACACAAAACTAACACCAGAGCACTCAAACATATTAATTTTTCTGAGTAAAATCTGAATTTTTTCCAATTGGATTTCTTTTGTATTTTTGGAAGACATACGGTTTTTTTTAAAAAAAGTCATAAAAAATAAGGATCTTATGTTAAAAGTTGCTTGATTTTGTTGTTCCCGCACATCTGGTGGTGAAATTTCATCTTTGGTGAGTACAATGATTTAAATTATTAATAAAACTGAAACAAATGTATCAATATTTTTGATGTGATGAAGTTGCAATGTACCAAAAAAAAGAAGCTTGCACTTAGGGTCTGTCCGTTTTTTGTTGTTGGTTTGTTTAAGTTATGCACAAGCTACACAATGGGCTATCTGTGCTCTGCCCACCACGAGTACCAAAATCCGCATTGTAAATCCACAGACATACCGCTTGTGCAATTGGGGGCTTTTGTTGTTGATAAAAATACCAACCATGATACATAACTAAGACAGTATATAAGTGGAGTGAACTTATGTATTATTAACAATTGAATGATTAGCCAATATATTTGGAAGACTTTAAATTCACTTTTTCAAATGATATTTATACCCCTTATAAAAGTTTTTGTTAAAACCAGCACATTGTTGTTTTTATATCAGAAATATTAACAATAAAAACATCCAGATTTATTTTGATGTGGGTCAGATGAAAAAGTTGGCTTGAAGTATTCACTTACAAATTGGGTATATCTGGGCAATATAAGCAATTAATTGATATAATTAATAATCCGTAAACAGCTATTATATCAATAAGTGCCTCATAAACTAACTGAATAATCGATTAATGTCGGAAAAATAATCAACTGATTGAAATTAATGTTTCTAATTATTAGTTTGACCATTCGAACAGTCAGTTAATTAAAATTATGATTAGATTAACTGTCACAAAAATAATCAATTAATCAAAATTAGAGTTTCCTATTATTTACTGTTTTTGATTATTCCAAGTATCCAAGTAATCAAACTACTACCATTATGTTTGCTTACTGATAAGCAAAAAGTCACATAATTGGGAAGGCCTTTCGGTATGAGGGTCTCAATTTGATTCTCATTGCTACTAAATTTGTATGTCCTGTATTTGTTATTTCAAAGCTACTCAAGCCATATGCCACTGTCACTAATTTTAAACTGCTGACTAGAGAGAAGGAAACTGGTTGACAGCATCCTCAAAGTTTTAGCTATATAAATTTAAATAAAGCTTAAATTTACTGTTTCTTTACAATTTCTTATATTTCTAATTTATAATTGTGTAACTACATTTTTACTATTGTATAAACATACATGGGTCTAGGGTAGGGGAGCCAACCCCTCCACCCATTTTTTCTGAAATTAATATTATTTAATGTTATATAAACAAGAATGGATCTAAGGAAACAGGAGTGTGGGGAGAGAGTGCAAGAAGCATCCACAGCATAGACATTTGAATGATGATAGTTGCTGGCGAGGATGAAAAGTAAATCCTGAGAGAAAGATGGTAGAAAAAAGCAAGAAGACAATGGCATGAATGGGGCATGCATGAGTGTGTGGAAAACCCCACTAAGATTTCAGTCAGGAATGGGAGTTGGGTGAGGAAGTCAGAGAAGAATGAAAAAGCGGAACAGTGTGGAGAGGACAGAGGAAGAAACACACTATTGTACTGGGAAAGGCAAAATGCCATGGACAAGGCTGCCCAATAACCAGCAAAGGCAGAAAAATAGTTCACAGTATGTTGGCCAGGAGTAAAGGAGTGGCAGATGGACCAAACACAAAAGACTAGCCACTTTTGTTGATAGACAAATGCAGTGCAAAGGCGATAGGAATGTGACAAGAAGAATGTCACACAAATGGACAGTCTGGCCCAACAGGCGATACACCAGACAAATCCCACATGTGAAGATGGAGAGAAGATATCCATCTATGAAAAAAAGGGACATATGAAGGTGTAGCAAGAGAGAGACAATATTAGAAAGAGGAAGGGTGGCT